ATACTGATGCCTTGAGTTGTTAAATTGAGCTAGAAGAAATATGGAGATAAGTGTGGTTGAAACACAGCATTTTTGATAACATTCACCATGTATTTTATATTGCTACAGAAACTGAGACAGAAAAGTGATGATAACACAACACTGAAATATGCTTCAGCTTTCTCGAAGGGCTCCAATTCCTCAGCAACATTAACTTATACCATGATAGATAATCAGGTTCAGATTCACAGGTGTCTGTTTCTCACCCACTACACAGAAGAGTGGCCTATGCATGACGCAGCCCACTAAAGGCTACATTTTAAAACCTAATGTTACAGCAAACTGAAACTGCAGATAGCTGACTCGACAATTCTGGACTGCCAATTGCAGTAATTCAAGAAGCACTTCCCAAGCAGGCAAATAGCAGGAAAGGAGTGAAGAGCCAGTATAATATGCTACCAGTGAATGCAGCATCACTCAATCCTACCGGTAAGCCAGAAACAGTCATGTTTCACAAATATAAATTCCCCGTTTTACTATTCTATGGTGCAGTGCGAGGGGTAACAGAGCCAGGCAAGTTTATGGTTTGCTTCAGGTCAGTGCCCTTGCAGGGGGAAATTCCCTCCTAGTGTACTTGAGTAGATCAAATTACACATTGCTGAGACATAATCTGCAGTTCAAGGAATAATTTTGATAAAACCATGCTGGGAACTGTCTCATATGCTATTCTGAGACCTCACTACTGTACACAGAAATAATTCTCAGCATACTGAAACAATAAGCAAGTACTATGATCCTGAAAACATTTTCATAATGTAAAGTACTTATGCACAGGTTCGACGCTTACCTATCAAGTCCTAGCAAAATCTCTAGGGAGTTTTTACTCTTTCCTCTTAAACAGAACCAGTGAAGTTCTGTGATATGTAACAATGAACTTAAATCTATTTAAATGCCTGAGAAATTATTTTAAACCAGTTTATCAACTCAAGTAACAAGATATTAATCAATGTGACAATCGCAATGATCAAGGCAAATTAATTTTGAGAATGATTACAAATGCACGAGTGATTAATTGAAAAGTGTACCCAAAAGTACCGTTACTGCTTATCAAATTCAATACTGTGTGGTGCTGGAACCAACATACAAAAAGACATCTTATTATACCACTAATACAAAAATACTTCAATGCATTATTTGTGTTGCAGGGAAAAACCCCTCAGATGAACCAGCACTGCATATTACTCAAGATTCACTGATGCAAAGATGTTGTTAAGGAAAAAAAAAAAACTACTTTCCCTCTACTACTATCAAGTTCAACAAACCCAATACAACATCCTACCTATCTTTGGTCTCAAGAAAAACTTATATAGCTTTTCATCATGCATCCCTGCACATTTAATTTATTGTTAATTTTAATAGAAACTAGTAGAGGAAAAAGTGTTTTACACTGCTAGATAGATATTAACTGCACAATAAATGCGAGATACTGTATTAATAGATATTATGTTCTTATTCTACCATTGACATGCAAAGCAAAACAAGGGATGTCTTTTTTTATAATAGGTTACTAGAACTTGAAAAAAGTATTATATCTCATTAATGTGAAAGTGAAGAGTGAAGCTTTAAAAACCATTACCTTGATTCATACTCTAGATATATGCCACTCAGCATCGTGCTATACAGTCATCTCACAGCACGTGAAATCAAAGTTGCAAGATGTTCAGAAGTTTTGCAAGGTTAATTTACTGTAAAAAGCGTAATTTTTATCATCAAATAGTACTAAGGCAAAACAGCGTAAGACAACATTGAGAGTTGCAGTTCTTTACTAAGGAAGTGTCAACAGTCCTGAAGACTGGAGTTCTCTGCACATCCATGGGAACACCACAATGCACCATACCTTCACCTTGCCTTGACTAATACTGCCATTTTTAAGGTAGAAAACATTAAGTATGTCCACTTATAAAGCATCACATATTTTAAGCAGACACATTTTGTTTTGCCTGCACACGCTGTAGTAACTAAACTTGGAGCTCTCTAACAGCAGCACCAAAAATTGAAAACGTAGACAGAGATCTAAAACTTAGCTCTTCAGATACAGTTAAGATCCAACAGAATATAACCTCTCTAAAAAGATTCACAGTTTGTAAGACTTGTTGGTCTTTCAGAAAAATCACACTAAAGACATTCCTTTTCTTTAGTTAATAAAACAAAATACAATTTCAAAACATCACCTGTTAATCAAGCAGACACTATCAGTAAGTCATCTGAAAATAAGCAACCCAGGAACAATTAATTAATTCCAAAATCAGATGAAAAGGCAGAAGCTCAAGGGATTTTAGAAATCTTTGTCCCTAGAAAACACTGAAGTCTAATAGAAAGACTATCCCTCTGTAAACTTTATGGAGAAAAAAATTGGGAATAATTTTGGAAACCTTAATAATACATGGAAAAACAAGGACAAAATCAGAAAAAAAAGAAATCACGTAAAGACTGGGAGTCTAGTTAGTTATGTTCTGTGGTCACAAGTTCCTTTCCAAAAGTATTGCTTGAAGAGTCAGAAAGAGCACACTTCATAAATAAGGTCTCAGAAATGCATGATTGTTGCTGCAGATATCACAGAGGTATTGCACAATGTAGCTGCTATCCTTTCACATGCACAACCTTCCATTACAACCATTCGGACCCCAGGGGTGGCTGCTGGTTCTCCAGATTCTTCAAATTCCACCATTCCTTAGGCTAAAACCGATTCTTCCACTTACCATGCAATATTTGATTAGTAAATACCTACATTCTGAATACTTACTAAAATACTGCTCCTTCTCTTGTTTGGCATTTACATGACAAATTCTTAAAAGGAAAAACCAAAAAAGCATTGCTTTTACACAAAATACTACAAAACAATCTAAGTCCTGATTGCCAAAGCCATTTTCAACATGACATTTGATAATGATATGACCTATTCCACAGAAATTTTGAAAATTAGAAATTACAAAAATAGCTACATGAAAAAAAACCCATCTCCATCATTTCTTTTAGCTCTAGCAACAGATTGTTTTAGTAACAGCAATCTGTTTGACAAATGAAAAGAAGAAATTACCAGGCATCAGAAGGTATTAAGAGTCACAAGGTAGTGAGTCACTATATAACAAGCCAAGCAAACTGACCAAGGATCTGTTGGAGTCTGTTTCTTGAATTCCTACAGGTGAAACACTCAGAGAAGCTACTAGTCGAACAGAACAGCGCCTCAGGTCTACCTATACTATAAGAAACAAATTGTAGAGCCTGTGGACTTACAGAGAAACACAGACTAAATTGTCATCTCCAGGGATCCATCCTTATTATCAGAAAACCCTTCCTAAATAAAGAGTCTGGAAAGAATTTGCCTAGAAAGTTTGTGCAATGTCCATTACTGGAGGTTTATAAGAACAAGTCAGATAAATATTTGTGAAGTGATTTAGGTACAGCCAATCTATCACACAGAAGACTGAAGTCAGTGACCTGTCAGGATAACTCTCATCCCTATTTTTTTTCTCTCCAGCTCACTGAATTTTGACTGTCACTAAACTCAGTTTCTAGTTTGGTAAACCCTTAAACTCCACGCTTTTCTCTAGTGACAGTACAGTAGTAAATCAAAGATATTCAAAGTAGATAAAAGTATTAAAATTGTTTCTGACATAACAATACATTGACTGTCAACTCTTTCTCTGCAAGTGCTCTTCAAATAAACTGCACTTTTTAAATTTAGTTTTCTTGCAAGCAAGCACATAGTAGCTGATTTTTTTTATTTTCAGGCTCAGCTAACTTAATGTGAACATTTGCTATGATGATCAGCACTGTTCTTCAAACTCATCTTAACTTGATTAGCGATGAAATTTTTCCACATAAAGAAGTTTGGTACATTTTACTATTATTAACAGTAAGAAATTCTAGCAAGGGGTGAATCAAAATACGTCCTTTAAGCTTAACTGCCATTTTTCACTTGGTGGAGAGGTAAAGAAATCTATTTACTACAGTCTTTCCCCTTACAATTCTCCCGAGTTGACAGCAAGTATTTACTTTTCATACAGAAATCCTCCCACCACCTGAGCACGGTGTGTTCTGGACTTCAGCCCACTTCGGTTTAAAGTGTTTTTCTTGGGTGTGACTGGGATAGAAGTATCAAAGCACCTGTGCAAGTACCACAGAAGTAGTCTCAACCTCAAAATTTGAATTTTATTATTGGAAAACTTTGTGTAGAATGGTATACAGCATAACAGGGAAAGTTTATTTTCTCAATTGTTTTTAAATTTCTGAATTGTTTTTCATAAGTCACAAAACCATCCAAGTTAGAGTGCTAGACTTAACTGAATTGGTCTTTGCAGCCTGGTGGTTCTCCCTTCGAGTGTCACTCAAAGTATAGCCATAGTTTCAGCAAATTCTCTCACGATTTTTTTTTTTTTTTTTTTTTAGGTAAACTACATTATACAACATAACCTTAGAAACAGATTCATACTTTTGAAATAACTTACAGATAAAACCCTTTTTTGTTTGTCTCCTCAGTAGTTCCTCTCATCTTCAAGACTATTTACATTAAGCAGATAATATTCTTCCCAAAAATCAACAAGGCTACCATCTGTCTTCACATAGTTTATTTACTAACGAAAAGTGACCAAATTCATGAGATATGAAAGCTGAGCAGCTACAAGAGACATAGCTACTTTATACTGTCTGAAATTTTGAAACATTTCTCACATTCTAGTAAGCTCTGTATGCTTACTTTATATAAAGGAAACAAAGTCTTTAATGTATGTTCTTATTTAATGGAAAGCATCAACACACTCTTAAATGAGATGTAGTAGATTTAATTTATGAATAGTATTTTAAAGTAGATACCCTTTACAATAAGGAAAGGCATATATCTACCAAAGGTTCATTTTAAAGGAATTTGAAAATAAAAACTATTTAATAGAAGAAATAATAATGTATTACATTTAATGTACACAAAAATATCAATGAAATCAGGAAGGTGCCATTTTGATTACCTGACAAGAGCGAAACTGGTTGACTAGAAGTGTACATCTCTGGGGGTCTTTTCTTCCATCCAAACTGTCCAGTTCAGCTGCTACTTGATTTAGTTCCTCATCAGCATAGTAGAACTGAGCAAGGAGCTGCGGGTCTGTTCTCTGCATTCAAGACAGAGACATATACAATATTACATTATTATTGCAAATAAAGAACCCACTTCAGCTAATTTTTTTTTTTTTTAAAAAATTAAGCTAGATAAGTAGTGTAGCAGCACAGAAAAGAATGATCTTGAGACATTTACAAATTTTTTCTACCTTGAAGAAAAAAATCTCTACTGTAACAAATGGGGTATTACTCAGCTACCGTTATCTCCAAAACCATCCCGGCATTCTCACTACTTGTGGCATAATTATCTGGTGGAGCACACAACTGAATCACGAGTTTTGTTTATTAAACAAAAGAACATTTCAGTTCTAGGCAAAACAAGACAAAGTTTCCTTCCAAGTTAAAACCAAACAAAGTCCCCAAAATCTACCAAGCAATGCGATAGTCTATCAAGCACTGTAGTAACCCCTGTAACATGATGTACAGTGTTATCTGGTCAGAACCCTCCCTTTGAGGATTAGAAAAATCAAGTCACAGAAGGGAAAAAGTACTGAATCTACTAGATACATTACCAGGGCCAAACAGATGTAAAAAAAAAAAAATCACAAAGCAAATAACATGACTAAGCAAGGCATTACAGAGAGAAAGCTACACTACAAGTCTTCCAAGTGGCAAAGAACAGAATTATCACAATGGATTTTTTGGCCATATTAAAACTAAACAGCAGTTATAATTGAAAGAAGAATGCAATTCATAATCAAAAAATATTGAGAAATATTAATAAAAATTAAGTTTGCCCCATAAAAAGGGGTATTTTTTTATTTAACATTAGCAACTGGAAATTCTGATCCCTATGAAAGCTTTCATCAAAATACTGGAAAAATATCAGAAATCAAGGGGAGGGGTGTGAGAGAGAGAAGGTAAGAACTTTGTTAGAAGAGAGTGGAGATACAAGTAGGAGGAGAGAGGGAGTAGCTTTTTGTACATGCAAGCAATGTGGTGAAAGATTCATGGGCTCAGAAAAGCACAACCTCTTATCATTCTAAAGTAGTAGTCAGTAAAACACACACAAGGTTTGTGGGAGATGTGTCTAAAAGGAAAATAGTTGGTTTTAATCACAGTGTAAGAAACATTAAGACTGTACTAAGCGCAGACTGGGAATTAGAATTAGTTGTCACTAGATGAAAGAAAAAATGCCTGATACTACAGCAAACAGCTGCTAAGTATCTCAAGTTGATTCTTAATGCACTGAAGAATGAAGCAATACCAAAATACTTTTAGAAGGACCAGTGAAAATAAAGACTAAGATGCATGGAAGCAATCTAAAGAGACTCAGACATTGGAGGAAAAAAAATTAACATCAGGAAGAACTTGCAAGTAAAGAAAACCATTATGTAAAAAGAAAACATTGTTTTTATAAACTAAAAAAAAATAAATAGCAAAAGCATAGAAATGACTAAGAAGCACCACATTTGAAATGACGGCTAATGAAGATGCACAAGATAAGTACATCAGAGCAAAATATGTACCAACAGAAACAAGTGTAATACAGTGAAGAAATTAGTCAACAGCAAAACAGAAGATAACATCACTTGAAAAGACAACATCACCAAATGCAACAAATGGCAAAAGACAAAAAACACTGAGGGTATAAGGAAGCATATGTTGCCAACCATACTATTTTCTATCTGAAACAAAACACGTCCACTGTTGTAAAAGGATAAAATACCAAAGTTCTTAAGGGATGGGGATATGGATGCAGTGAGATCAGAAATGCTGCAAACCACGGGTTTAAAGTACTAACAGAGGTGATGAAGGTTTATTGGGGACCTGAATCTTGTGCTTCACATACACCCAGTCCTGCAACACTCATCCACAAACTGTTCGCTATCATGCAAAAAGATCAGTGGGAAACCACTACCAACAGGTTCAGAAGGTGGTGAGAGCACAATAAATGCCCATCAGGAATACTTGGGGGGGGGGGCAGGGGGGAAGAGCAGTTATTTTTGCTTCGTACTTCCAAAAAGTCATTCAATAGAGAGTACCACAACATATTGTTCAATTCCCTATTTTAGCCTCCACAAGATTCACAACCTGCAGAAAAATCCTTTTAGGCCTTCACAGTACAACATTAAAACCTGCACAGCTGTACAGCCCCTGAAAAGGAAGAACAGAGTATTAATACCTTTTGAAGAGAACAGTATACATTCTCCACACTTGACAGGATCAGAGGGTTAACTACTGCAAGTATTTTTATTGCTGTAAAACTTACAGAAAAAGATATAGTCATATAAATGATGCTAAATGTGTCCTCAGCATTACATGCTGAATTGGTTCTCAGCAATTTAATGAGACTACAATAGCCCTCCCTGAAAACAGAGGCACCAACTCCTGCTCCTACATATCTTATTTGAGCATTACTATAAAGAATTTAAGGCTATCTAACATTGCTGTGAGCCACCACACTGCCCAGCAGCTTTCTACATCACCAGGTCACACCATTCAAATTCTGAGGCAAGCCAGGAATGAGATAACTTTTCAGTTGGTTGAAATGTAGTAATGAAAGTGTTAGGGCTTTTTTCCTCTTCAAACAGCCACTTTCTACAAAGTAGAGAGCCTTTCCAATCATAAGCTTCTTCCTCTTAATCCTTTCAATATTGTCTTTTATTCAGCAGTACCCTAAGTGTAAGCTGTCAAAAATTTACAGTCTTAAATAATGTCCTCACTATAGCCTTGATATAAAGATGCCCAGGGAGAAGGAAAAAGCTTGCAATATACAGCCAGGGAAACAAACAAAATTCAAAATTAACGATAATGAGAAGGAGAGCCTATAACTGATCTGCTAAATTTTAGTTCTAAAATTCTGCATTTACAAACTAAGGCTTAGTAAAGTATTTCCTTCAGCACTTCCCCCCCATCCAATTATTTTTATTATTTCCAATTTTTACATTTTCCTTCAGCACTTATCTACCTTGATTAAAACTTTGTCTAGAAAGTTGTCCACCAAAGATGCAGGAGTTCACGTATGGAATTGTGGCAAAGCGTGACTGCTGATTTATAAGCATCTCAATTGCACTGCAGAAGCAAAATATGGGAATTTATTAAGACTGGTCTCAAGCAAAATAAGTAAGGCTGAGATATTTAGCTCCCACATGGCTGAGTTTTCAAATTGGAGGAACAAAAGTTTTAATTGAGTTCTCTCGACTGTGTTATGTTTAGTGCAGATTAGTAACGTGATTTTTGATTAACTGTGTCAATCATACGTGGTCCCTGGTAAGCCAATCCTGCATGAAACTAACTCTCTTAGCAGGGGGCCATTTAAAGCAAATAACTACAAATTTCTAAATTACATTCATTCCAATTGGTAGCAGAAAACAAAAGACAGCATCACGCTCTATGCCAGATTTTACTTTCAGTTTATGTAAAATATGGGTCAAATAATTTTATCTGAATTCCTTATTCTTCTTTGGCAGAATAAGAGTTACTAATTTCTATCCTCAGCTGCTCAAATTAATAGAAAGACTTCATTTGAAAGCACCTAACAGAAAACCTACCACTTATCCTGGTAGTTTGTTTCAGGAATTAATCACACTTTCCCTCAAATTACTGCATCTAATATCTTGTTTTGATTTGCTGGACTTCAACTTCTAGATACTGCTCTTGCTTTGCCTTTTTCCACTAAAGCATCGCGTGCTCATGTTACTTCACCTGTTTCTGCATCCAGAGTGCAGCAGCACATTGTACCACATCACCGTTGTAGGTTGCACATATGTTTTGAGGAGCACTGTTTTTTTTTTTTTGGGGGGGGGGGGGGGTTTTGTTGGGGGGGGGGGGTAGGAGATTTTGTTTCTTTGGTTTGGGGAGGGGGTTTGTGTGTGTCGTAGTATTGTTTTTATTTTAAATCTGTTATCATCCCAACACCCTCCTGGGTGTGAGCTATCCAGGTAGGAGTCTCATTCTATACACCCTGCGGTCCTTCTGTCTAACATTTGTTTACATTCCACATCTAATATTCAAAAGGATTCAGCCCACTAAATAGTCCACGTTATTCTCTGCAGCTATATTGCCAGCACATAATTTACCATAGCACAGAGCACATTCTCCACAGATTTGAAATCATGACTTCATACATGGGTCATGACTTCTTATCCCAATTTGTATGATATGCATTGACTACCACTTCAGTCAGTACAAAGACAGGAATCAGCACAACATCAGTTACTTGTTTTTTAAAAAACATTTAGCCATGTTGTGTAATACCACATCATTCATCTTTTTTATGAAAGATCACTCACTGAATAGTTCTTTTAATGATTTTTACTTTATATTAGGTACCACTCATTAGGTCAGAGATCAAAATCAGAAGACAACTGCCTGCCATCCACAAGGTCAGTTTAAAACTGTCCACATGAAAAAGCTGTATTAACTATTGAACTGGTTACACTCAGTTTTTGCCCGTGAAGTCCTGCCAATGAATAGTGACTAGGATTAGAGTAGTTCAGTTTGTTGCATAATGAATTCAGATTTGATTTTTCAAACAGGATTTATATGGACTATAAGAGACTGCCAAAAGGAAAGCATCTTAATTTAAGAACCCTGTTAGCTACAGGTTATTAGAGAAATGACAGGTCTAGGATTACTTATTGCATGTTATCAGATGAAAAGATGCTATTCTCACATCTTTTAAACATGCTGGTCTATCAAAACCAGAAGCTGTCACTAAAAGTGTCAACTAACTGGGAAAGAAAGAAATTCTAGCACAGACTTCTCAACACATGACAGAAGCAAACGGCTAGACTGAAAATTGATACTACAAGCGAGAAGCCAGTATGCTGAGAGATCAATCTCAAACCATTCAGTAATTCTGAAATTTAAGAATTGAAAAAAAAGATCACATTTCCAGAAATAAGCAAGGGGAAGATTTTCTCCTTTTGAAACAAAATTTCAAGTGACTTTTGCATGATTTTTAACAGCAGCTTTCAAGTATCAATACTGCTGCTTTTTCAACTAACACAAAATATGCATCATCTTATAATCATAAATGACA